AAAACTTTTATGTGAATATTTCATCAACATCAATTAGCGTTTGAGAAATTACTAAACCAGCCTTACTGGAAAAAATTAAGAAAACGCTTTCAGTAACTAACAGTAATAATGTAGGTGACAGTAATAAATGGCATAAAAATTCCTTTTGAATTATTTAGAATTAGTTTTCATTCTTGAATGACATTTACTCGAAGCGGTTAAACTATGTCTGACCTATCAGATAAGTGTCTCTAATACTGACAGTAGCGATTACTGACATATACGAGGTTTCCTTCATTTATAAGGAGATTTTCTCATATATATATAAGTATATATATATATATATTTTTCTATTTCTAAATTAACTCAAATTATCGCAATACTCCCATTTATTCTATTTGAAAAAAACTGCAAAAAATTCAGCATAAATCTGTTCTGTTTTTATAGATAATTTTTACCGACCGTATTGTGTAAACAATAGGTAGGTGATGTGATGGCAACAAATTTTGCATATCGAGTTTTCGGTGGGAATGCACTTCTCCATAGTAGGGAAGTGTAAGTAAACTATTTTTAGCAACCTGTCGGTCCGTCGGTCTGTAGGTCTGTCGGTCTGTCAGTCTGTCGGTCTGTGTGTGCACGCATATATCTCAAGTTCTGCTGAACCGATTTTGATGAAATTTTATATGTAAGTTTATTTCCAACATGGCACGGATTGATCAACTTTTGGTATATATCAGGCCTCGGGAACTGCACTTTTTAGCGGGCCTGTTTTACATTTTTGAACATTTTAAAGAAAGTATTCAACCGATTTACTTGAAATTTCATATATGAGCTTTGCTCAACCGTCCGCGAAAATTCCTAACTTTTGAAAGAAATCAGGCATCAACAACTGGACGTTTACTACGGGCCAAATATACATTGTTGCGTATATAAAGAGAAATAATCAACCGATTTCATTGAAATTTAATATTTGAATTGCTCGTATTAAAACAATGAACATATAAATTTTTTGCAAAGATCAGGGCTCGAAAACTGATTTTCGGGCCGATTTTACATTTTTTACCATATCTACGGAACGAATTGATGGAATTTCTTGAAATTTGAGTTCTGGTTGTTACCGAAACTTACTGGCGAGCATTTTAGGGAATTCGGGTAGCACAAAACGAAACTGTATTAAGAGCCAAATTTACATTTTCCTAGGTATGGTAACTATAAGCTTACTAATGTCTTAAAAATTGGAAAGACGTATTTAAAAGACATTTTCATAATATTCTGTAACCCTTTCACTTAACTAGACAATATACAATGCGGTCGGTTATGTGCTGACCACATCAGATTTTTTTTTATTGTTTTTTGATTTATATGAGTGTTAAAAACTTATGTATTTAAATAAAATTGAATGTTTGATTAATTTTTCTCTTATTTTATAAGTTAGTTCGGTCCTGTTTCTATTACTTACATATGCGCCAGTAATGTGTCAAAAGTTTGTATTTTTATAAATGTCACCATATTTAAAATATTTAAATTCTTATTTATGTATTTATTTAAAATCGGATTGAAATTTTCTTTCTAATGTCCGAATTCTGGGACTAAGAATTCATTACAGTTTCGGAGTATTTTAGCTTTAAAAACTGATGTCAGTAATGGGTACAACTAAGGTCAGTATTATGTACAGCATCTTGTCAGTATAAATTTTAATTTTGATATATAATTATACATATTCATTTAAATTAATTACATTACCTTCTTTTCACTTTAAAATTGTTTTTAATTTCTTGTGATATGGTACTTCATAAAGTATTAGTTATAAGAATATATTTGTAACAAATATTATCTTATATATAAAATTATAATTGTATGAAAATACATAAATAGTTTGAAAATTTATAACTCGCCAAAATCTATACCCAATAAAATTGAAAGTTGTTGCAAATGCCTCTTACGTTATTTGCGTCAAACATCTCAAATTTTTTTTTACATCATTATTCTTACCATATAAATTATCAACAATTTTCTTTTTTCCCATTCGAAATTTTCCCTAGTCATTGCACACATAACTTTAACATTTCCAAGCCAATTTGAGCAAAAGAAAAACATATGGCACACAACTCAGCCAAACGATTTCAACAACGGGAAAAATTCAATTTGAATCTTTTAATATTCGCCAGTGTAGTTTTATAATTTCATTTTTGTGGCTACCCAATAATTGTAGTATCTCTGGTAATGGAAAAGTTGACAAATTGGCTAAATAATCGATACCAGATGATATAGACAGATCCTTTAAATTTTATTACAAAAACTTTAATACTCGCTTAATAATTAGACATTGTAACCTAACTCACATATATTTATTTGAAAAACCTAAAATAGAACCTCCAAAATGCGCATGAAACAATACAAGTTATATACATATATGTATCTATTAGACATTTATTCGAATCATGCCAGGCTTATGTATGATAATAATGGTTTACATATACTAAAAGAAACTTACTATAAATCCACCAGAAAAATAATTCAATCTCTTAAAGAAGTTCAACTTTTCGGAAGAATTTAATTTTTATTACTTAATTTTTTAAGTAATAAAAATTTTTATTATTAATTATTATATATAAGAATTAAATATAATTCTTATTATAGAAGAACTTTTTAGCCATCTTTTGTTTTTAATGTACTTAAAAATGTTACCTTCTTTAAATAATATGTTTTACATAATGAATAATTCTTATTTATTTAAAATATGTTATTAATTTTTTGTAAATTTTTTTGTTAAAAACTATTACTTGTGTTGATAACCACATAATAAACATTTTAAATAAATAAAAAAATTAGTTCCGCTCAGTTAAGAGCGTCAATAAAATCTTAAACAAAATTGTTAAATGCATTGCTCATGTTAAATTAATTAGATCTTATTATGTTTGGCAAAATAATTAAAAAAATCTCAATCACTTTGAAATGTCCATTTTTGTATAAGTTTCTATGTAATATCTTAAGAAAGTTTTGAAGATTTTAACTTTTTCCAAAAATAATCTAAGCCTTATTTAAAAATACTAAAGTATCTTTGATTATTTCGATTAAAATGAAGCATTAGCCTTTTTTGTAGTAATATAAACCTTCAAAACATTCAGGAGTAGTACCGAATTATTTACAAATGGACCGTTGTTTTGTACAGAAATACAATTATATTATATAGAATGAAAAAGTTATATAGAAAATTAAATACTCATTATTTTAGACTTATTTCCCATCTATAAAATGAAGCTATTTAATGAAATAAATCTACATATGTAATACCTTCTTATAGGTTTTAGTCTAGAATTAAAGTAAATGGCTTTAAGTTTTATACATAAAAGAAAATCATCGATATTTAATTTTAAAGGCGTAGTTAAAATATTAATTTTAAATATTATTATTTAAAGTAAAATTAATAATTTAAAATATTTTAATATTTAAAATATTAATATTTTAATTTCAAAATACTTTAAGTTGTGAATTTTATGTGATTTATTATGCGTAAAGTGCAATGCTTGTTGCATATTATTTATTGCTTGGAGAAGAGGGCGTACGTTTTAGAAGCCGGGTAGCGCGCCGAACAACTCAGAACCGGCCAGGCGCTGCTTGCATCTTTTAATTTTTTTGTCACTAAACATAAAAAATTGTAATGTAGTTCAAATAACATAATTTTAAAAATTTTGTTTTTAAACCTTTAAAAGATAAAATCAAAGAAAAATATAATTGTGAATTCTTCAAGGCCTGTTAACGAACAGACAGGTAGGTAGATTTTGTCAAAAAAAAAAAACGTATAATCCTATAATTACTTATATTTCAAATAAGTCTCCTCAAATATTTTTCTGCAATTGTTGCATAATTTTAACTGACTTCTTTTTTCATTGTAGGAGAAATAATTGGTGAATTAATGTCTTTATCAACACAAAACGGATAATAGAATGGGTAAGAGAACATTCAATTAAAGATGTTGAATTGATAGTAAAAATTTGAAAAGACCAAAAAAAATAAAAATAATAATCAATTATTTAAATCCAATCTATATTTATCAGCTTGCATTCTTCTATTTTGAAAATGTAATTTTCTTACACATTCTTTAAAAAATTTTCCTTCATAATTATATAATTAATATATGTGTTATAGAGAACTACGTTAAAACATAATAAAAAAGAAAAAATATCTCAGTTTAGCCTTAGTTTCGTAGACAACATTGGAAGCTTTCATATTTCATGTTATGTGGAGAGCACCGACATTGATTTCTCAAAAACTTCAAATGCCAATATTGAATTTTGTTCCTGTTAACATATTTATTTACTCTTTACAGTTAAAGAGTAATTAAATACTGAAAACTGTTTATTGGTATGAAACCAATGCGGCTTTAAGATTTATATATGAACCATTAACTTTCTGAAAAACATTTTTTAAACTCCTGGAATCTGACATATCCGACTACCCAGCTCGGCGATACTTTTTCTACGTTACATGAGTATATTATTGCATGATTATATTTGCCGATCTTTACAATGGTAAGTCCTGTTGACGCATCGAACCAGAGTGGATTCGATTTTGTATACACATGTATTCATATTTTGTTACATTCATATATATTGTAAATTTAATAGTGTAAAATTAAATTTAACCGAACATTTAAATCCTTTTCTGCTGATTAAGTTATCTTCGATTTAGTAATCCGTACCTTAACTAAACAAACAGTTTCTGAAAATAATTAGTGAATCACCTTATATAAAATCAGACCAATTAAAGTAACAGAATGGATCAATTGAGTACTAGAAAACACATTTTTAAACATCTAAATTTTATAAAATCGTGGAAAATATATGAATTAAATTCCATCCTAGATAATTTTTTCTCTTTTGTAATAACTGAACAAATTGACTAATTTATATAATATTATATAGTATTAGTAGTATATAATAGTATATAAATTTTTTTATAAATTTCCTTACTATTATACTGTACCATTTAGTACTTCTCTTTTTTAGTTATAAACTTACTTTATTATGTACCGTGTCATGCATCAGTACATAAGTCTTACTTAACTCCTCTCTTTTGTTAAGTATTTTATTTTTTAACACCGCACTTTCCTTTTTAGTTTTGATTACTTTTCATAAATTTTCTTTATTTCCTTTTTTTAATTTCTTTTTTTTTATTTATATTTTATTTGAATAATTTTTTCTAAGCTATTTACTCTGTTTCCTTTCTCTTTTTTGTTTTGATTATTTTCGCGTATTTCTTTTTCTTATTTCTTGTAATTTTATTTACTCCTTTTTTGTACGAATAAATTTTACTTCTTTCATCCGTAAATTTTTTTTACATGTTCAAATTATACTTATTCCATTTTTTTTATTCACAATAGAATCATAAAATTTAATTTATAATTATATTGGGTATTTTTTTTTGTATAAACTTTCGTAGATACAATCCAAAATAAAAAAAACATTCTTTATAAGTTTAATTCAATCCGAAATTTTATTTCTCCAGAAAAGTAATAAAATAATAAACAAAATGTTGAAAAAAGCCACAAAAAAATTAGTAATAATGTAAAATTATCTAAAATTCCCGGGTAAATTAAGACTTGTTTAATATCTGCAAATCGTTTTGAATCTAACAGAATAAATTTTTTTTTTATTTATTTTTTTGTTAAACTTTATTTTTTCGTGTGTTTTAATTTTTCTAATTTTTCGACATCAATTTTTATACGATCACTACTTTTTAGATTCTTTTCTTAAAATAAACTAACGAGAACAAAATACGTGCGAAATACACTACGGGTTGCATTCGACTAAAATAATGATGCCAACAGTTTGCCCCCAATTATTTCTTTTTTTTTATTTAATTTTTTGTTTTCCACAATTTTCATTCTATGTACTACTACACAATTATTATAGCGTAAAAACACTAATACATATTAAAAGAGAAAATTTTATAAATATATAAAGATGTATGCATAGGGAGAAACTTATATATAAATACGAGTACATATATCTGATTGTGTACATTGATATACATATGTATTTACATTATGAAAGCCATAGAGAAAAAAGAGAATAAACATCTACATATATTCACTTTTACATATATATATTTTTTTACCGTTAATATTATAAAAATGGAAAACAATGAAATAAAATTTATAAAATTTGGAGGGAAAATAATATTGCCGACCGGTAAAAAAACGCCACATTGCTCTTTTTGTGTCCTGCAAAAAATTATACGTATACTTGTTTCTTGTATATTTGTAGGTTGTAGGGATTAATCTACAATCTACACAATTTCTACATACACATAAATTTTGCTAAATTTAACATAGTAGTTTGAGTACATACTTAAATCATACTTATACGATTTTTTCTTAATATTTAAGGGGAATAATTTAATGACGTCTCTAAATATCTAACCGTTATTTTGATACCGTTATATTATAACAGATATTTATTGGCTGAATTATTGATTTTTAAAATATTCCTTTACATACATAAATACATACAATTAAAATAAGATATTAAAAATTTACCTACATTATGTAAATACTCGAAATTTTTGTTTAGTTTTGATTTTGTTGTACATAGGTAAATAACAAAATACAAACAACTGTCGTACAATTGTAAAAGATTGAAATAATAATAATTTATGTATATATTAAATATTACTTGCTTTAATCCCCTTCCTTACAAGTTAGGTGCTCCCCCGAAATTATTTTCTCAATTTTCAAAAAATTGTGAATGCATTAAAAAAGTATTTAATATTTACATATATGTATGTGTACGTTATTTTTAAACGTTTACTGCTCCCTCAAAGCTGTGAAAAGGTTTCACAAAAAATCAAAAAGGAAATCAAATTTCTTTAGAAAAATATTTGAATTAGCATATTTCCCATACTTAATTTTAATTCAAGTGGATGCGGCCATGCTTTTACTTTTATTTAAATAGGTAATTCTTTAATTTCTTTTATATAGAAAAGGAAAAGAAAAAAATATTATGCATAATATTCCTACGTGTATACATATGTGCATGTAATTATGAAATAAATTCTTTTGTAGCAAAAAGATGGTTCCAGATAATGACTTCATACTTTATGGCATCATAGCCGGAGATAAGAAACTTTTGTTCCACCGCCATTTTCATGTCCTTGAAGCTTGATTAGGACATTTTGCATAAATGAAGTTATCAAGGTCAAGTAAAGGTCAAATTAACGGCTGGGAAAGTAATCAAGAAACAAAGAAGACTATTTAAATATGTAAAACAAATAATGGATTGAATTAAACATTAATTTTTTCAGAAAGCCGTCATGTCTTCCAAACCAAGCAGCGGATATTGTTACATTTTAGAGAAAAATGAAAGATGACTTTGCATCTCTTAATATTAGATGACTTGTTAACTTTAATAGTTTGTTAAATATAGGTTTAAAAATTTTCAAAAATCTTTAGCGGTTGTTAGCGACATTTTGGTCAAAAACGGTGGAACAATAGTTTGTTGTCTCATTATAGCTTTTTACATCACAAAGTAGAAAGCTCTTATCTGAAACCACCTATTCGCTTCCACCCCCTAATTTTTTTATTTTCCAAAAAAAAAACTTTTGCAATTTACAAAATGTGGCCACATGTAAATGTACATGCATGAATGCATATACATATGTATAATGCACATACAATAAAATATCACACTCTGGGTATACTGATATTTCACTAATGTTTCTTCAGAGTACATACCATATACGCTTAACGAAACATTAGTGAAAGTAAAAGTATACGTATGTGTATAAATTTTTTATTAGAAACATCGAATTATAACGATGTTTCTATTTTTTATTAATTACTCGCAATAAAATATAAATTGAATACGAAAAATAATTTATTTTATACAAAAAAGGCGTAGGACTTGTAACGGACACACAGACAGAATATCATTTACATAACAATCACATGTATGTATGTACGTATATACATATGTATAAATGAATCATATAACCAATTGATAATTTTCAAATTATTTACGAATATAATAAGAAAACAGTATTTGTCATTGAATCAAATTTATCAGTTTAATTTTAAAATGTACAGAAGGATTTACCCATGTATGTATGTATGTATGTACATACCCATGAGATTATAAACCTGTTCAATTTCATAAATAAAAACAAATTATAAAATAAATATGTAATTTAAAATATCGATATTTAAATATTAAATGATTCAAGTTTCTACATACATGTATACAGATATAAATATGTAGAATATAAAGATGAAATTGAATCAAAAATAAATAAATGTATCAAAAATATTATTAATGTTAGAAATAAAATAATCAAACCCGGAACAAAATTGTGAAAGAACATTCTAAAATATTCAATTTATGACATCATTTTCTTCCGAATTTCTAAAAAAATCTCTTTATTAAGCAAAGAAATTTTAAAAATTTCATTTATATCATTTCAAACTATGTTTCACAAGAAATTCATTTTTAGAAAGAAAAATGTGTCATGCACATGCAAATGTATTATGCGCAAGCATAAAACTTATTATGTTGCTTTGGTAAATTCTTCTAAATAACTACATTGTACTTTCGATTTTTTCCTACGCAGGCTGCTTGCTTTCTTACTATGTAGTTAAAACTCATTTTTAGCAATTTGGATCTTGACACATATGTACTATGTATAAATTTTTTATTCTACAATAAATACAATGTAGTACAACATTGTAGTACATAAATACAATGTAGTTACTACATTTTGAGTGCCAGATTTTGTAAAATTCACTTAATATGTAATTAATATTTTATATATGTAATTAATATCTTAATATGTAATTAATATTCGCTTACTTATTTAAATAGCATCTTAAAAATTTAATACACTTACATAATATATATACATACGAGTAATAAATAAAATGAACATAAAGTTAGCAATAGTTATATACATACATACATACGTCATGTATGAATATTCAAAAAAAAATTTATAACAAAATAATATAATAACAAATGAATTTTTCATAACCAATAGGCATGCATAAATGGAAAATTTAATTTTTCAACTATAAATCAATTAAATGAAAAATAAATAATCAAAATATAAAAGAATTTTATGTTGTAAACATTTATTCATGGATGGGAAATAAATTAAATTCTTATTTTTAAAACTAAACTTTGTTTAAAATTTAGTATTAGAAAAACTACAAAAAAGTATGGGAACATACATACATACATATATTGTTTATTCTATAAAAATTAACAAAAATAAAAAAAAACACAAAAATATTATAAAATTTTTATAAATTTCCCAGAATATTTTAAATTTTACGGCATTTTAAATCTAGAATAATTATACATATATGTACATATAATACATATTTATCCATATTATGATTATGATTTTATAAAAGAGTCAGTCGTATTTCACATAAATATCATATGAAGTGATACTATACATCTATGTCGCAGTTAAAGTGATACCTTTGACATGGTCCAAATGTCAAAGATATCGTGTGTGTTAAATATATTTCTGTAAAACTTTTTATAGGACGGGGTAGCCATTTCTTCAACTTTTTATTAATATTTGCATTTTTTATTAAAATTTGCAAATTTATAATATCTAATAAAATATATAGAAAACAATCTAGAAATTACCAAGAATTTGACAGAATATTATTGATATGTCATTTTATGACATTGCAAAATTATTTTCAAAAAAATCACTAAATTTAATACATATGTACATACATACATATATGACATTGCTTAAAAACTTTTTTTCTTTTTATTTATATGCATATAATCAAATAATTTTTCACGTCTCTATTTTCAAACTTTTCCGACATCAAGTTATATTGGTACCTATACAGCTTTCCAAGATTTTTAATAGGAATGATGTTAGACTGAACGATTGCCTTTTTCAGTTGCATTTTGTACACTTTGGGGTTAGATATATATGTATATACATTCTAAACAAATCCCAATCGCTTGAGACTTTAGTTTATTTATTTAGTTTTATTCCTACGACTCTTCATTAAGATTTCTTTTTTTCTTCCTAATCACATCCCAAGGTATGCCGCAGAAGTATTGTTTACGGCCTCTGTAGCTATGCCGATGGTCTGAGAACGAATGATTTTTCGAAATTTTGCAACGCGTGAACATCTTTCGCAGTGATCGGGCCTTCTCTATGAACATCTAAAGTTGTTAGGCTGTCCCTGCGACTCATAGGCATTGTTGGGATATTGGATCAAGTAAATTCTGCTAAATTTAACAAAATACAATGCCCTTTTATGCCTAATCTCAAAAATTTGCTAGTACAAAGGTATGGTTGAACTAAAAAAAACAAATTTTTTTGTTTTGTTGAACGTATAATCTTGATAAAACTAACGAAACAAATTCAGTTTTATATGTAAGAAATAAAAACTGAATAATATGCTTTGGCATTATGAACAATAACCTACCAACGGAATTAGATTGTTGCCACTTTTACACGTTAAATTTTTCTCTCTATATGAAAAAGAAACATTTACGACCCTTTTTTAATGCTTTTTATAAACGGTGTTTTGCCAAAAATACAATTGGAATAATCTTTAAAAAAACGCACTATTTCACTATCTTCATTTTCTCTAAATTACTGAAATTGCATTTATAGAAAATCTATCTGGTATAGGTACGAGTATAACTTAAAACTTTAAAAAATGAATAAAAAAAATCTGATTTAAAACAAAATAAAAACAAGTAAAAACGTTTCAGTCGGTATGAACCGATTGAATTATACCCTGCACCTTTCATTGTTGT